AAGATTATGATAATAAAGGATTAAGGTGAGCAAGAAGTGTAGAAAGCTAAAAAGTGTGTTTAGAATAATGATAAGATGATTTGTTTTTTTTTTTTTTAAGCAAAAAAGGGGTAAAGAAATTTCCCTTTGTTCTGTGGGGTGAGGAAGGTGTAAAAAGAAAAAAAAAAAAAAAAAAAAAAAAATAAGAAAAAAAAAAAAAAAAAAAAAAAAAAAAAAAAAAAAAAAAAAATGAAAAAAAAAAAAAAAAAAAAAAAAAGCCTGCGTCACCTTTGGGTGGTATCGGCCCATCTGATCGATAGACGCCTGCCAGTAAGTAGTAAACTGAGGGGTGGAAGTAAAGAAATTCTGGCACCATGCCACATGGGGTTCGAGGCAAGGCCATTGTGACCAATCAGAAATCTATTAATGTGGGGCGGAGGAGCAATAACTGCCTGTTTGAGACTAGCCCAGGGTAAAATAGCGAGCTTACCATGACTTCCAGCACAGTTGGAGACTGGCCGAGGCTGATTAGCATGGCACGACTACAAAAAAAGATACAGGTAGTTAGGTGCAGATCTTTGAAAGAAGGAGCGCATGCTTGTGGAGACATCTTGTGCCTCCATTTATGTCATTGTGGTGTGACACATTTTCAGTAGCATAGGTTCGTTCTACTTCCACGTAAAAGCTAACCAGAGAAAAGGGTGTCAAGCATGCAAAATGTGCTGGGTATCGAAATCGCAAGTCGTTGACGTCGAGTCGTAGATCCTGTGGGAGGACGAAAGCTCTCTCGGTGGTTGTATGAACTGCAGCCATGCTTGGTCTTCAAGTTCCATGAGCCACAGCCGCATTCTTTTTGTCAGACAGGAGTTTGTTCACCAGGCGATTCAGGCTTGATTTGATTTATCTCAAATCCACCCTCATCCTTGTCCTCGCCCTTCTGTGGCCACATAATTTGCCGTAACACGATGGCGCGAATCATCATGTAAAAGACGAAGATATACATTAGTATGAGAGGAAAGATCATGGCACACCCTATGATCAGAATGGGCTTGCATGAGAAAGCATTCCCAATAGCGAACGTGGCAGTGATCAAGGCAGTGTTGGGGAAGACAAACGAGAACCATGCCATTGAGAAATTCATTCGACCTGGGCCGATGGTCGACCAGTGAGCAAAAGTCGCAATGAAGAAGAAAAATACCGCCAGGCTAGATCGTCGTTAGTCGATTGCTGAAGCATAAAATGGGTCACGGAAACTCACCCCCAGAGCCACAGACAAGTGAAATTGACAACTACTTTGAGAATATTCGCAGCCAGTGCGCCATTACCCATAAAATCATCAGGAAAGCATCGCTTCGCGTGAGCAGCCATGGTTACCAGTCCTGAGACTGTGAAAGCACTGGGGCCAACAGAGACAAACATACCGGGACGTACATTTTCTCTAGGCAATTTTTGGGACATTAATCTGTAAATGTACGCTGCGTAAACAGTAAATGAAACTAAGTAGCCCAGTCCTTGGATCGTTGTTCCACCAATGATAATAGGTAAGGCCCGAGAGGGTTCAAGCTTTGCGCTTAAGATCCCTGCATGAGGACCAATTATCAACATAGGATACGCTGGGAAGATCCATATCGGGGTCATCTGGGCTATCGTGAAAGTTTGAGTTGACCACCTAAGCCAGGATCAGCATTATTGAATAGCCAGGAAGAGAAATGTCACACACAATAGCAGATATATACCAGCAGAGAAGACCACTGCAAGAGCCGCATCGATCCAGAATAACACACCGACAGTATAACTTAGCCAAGGTCCTGTGGCTTGTGGTCCGTACTGAGAAATATTGATCAAGATTGTCCCAAATGAGACTATAGATGCAGGCACAAACAATGACTCTGTTGGATGCATAATTGATAGTTTAAAGGTGTATGGATGGAGGTAGAAGCGCAGCAGCAAGATACACCATATTATAATGTATAACGCAATGTTAAAAAGAAAGACTATGACTCCAATGGTTTCCAGGCCACGGAATCTATAAGGAACTATTTACCAAGTCAGTATCCATTAAAAAAATGCGCCAACAATACAAGCTGACCGTCATATAAGGCATTTGCGATACCACCAGTGCTCATTGAAAGAGTAAAAAAGGCCCAGGTAAAGTGCCTGATCCGTTTCTTCCAGCTCAGTGACGCAGCCGAAGCCTCAGTGTCTCTGCGAGAGAGCGGGACACTCTCATTTTCGTACTTGTAGAACGAATGATTGTGCAGTGCTTCTAACGCGGAAGATCGAGCCTGTTGGATTGCCCTTCCGGTCGTTGGGGGTAGCAGTGACAACTCATTGCTACGCAGCACGCGATCTTCCTCCGTCATTGCAATTGCGCGAACGAGAGTGATATCCTGATTCAAAGCTCAGGTATTTGCAATCTGCTGGAAGCATAGGGATTGTTTACTCGTGCTCGAATTCTCAGCTGTGCTCTTCCCTTCTGGCTCAGATGCTTGCCTGGAAGACAAAGGGCATGTGCTCACGAGGCAAGACGAAAACTAGAGAAAAAAGGATTTCTGCAACGACGAAGGCCGAATTTTAAAAGATCGGCCACTTTAGCCAGTGAAAGCCCTCCGTAGGGACGGAGACACGTCTATATACCGATCGAAGCGAATAGAGTTGAACTGGTGAATGGATCCGTCGGGTATCGGCACACAAGCATTTGATGGTGGGGAAGAGACCGGTCAAACCAAGTTATGACATTTTCCTAAGAGAATAGCAATCATCTTGGGTGTGAGTGGATGGCTTGTCATGAAATGTCACATCAGAGATGTCCGAAGTACCAATTCAAATTAGCACTGCCAGGAGCAAGGAATAGGGAACTGTGGGGGCCTGAATGGCGAAAGTGATGCCTTGCGTTGATCCGATTTTTCATAGAGACGGCCTTGGTTTGATGGGCTGCGCTTCGTATGTGATTCCTGAGGGAAAGGACTTTCCTATAGCACTTGTTTCCATACAATACTGCAGACAATAATGGTGGGAAACTCGATAGAGTCAGAGTCAGATGACAGAGTTGCGCATCAATATTTCTTGATATTATTGTCCCAGCAAACTTGGAAATCTGACGCCACAGCCGAAGTTCCTATGGAATAGTGCAAGTACATCATACCTAGACATCCGGGGTAGAACCGTAGAATACATATCAATCGCCCTTATCCATCTAACAGGAAATCTGCAGCCATGGTCATTACTGTGTGGGCTTCTCTTGAATTGAACGATTGAGTGATGTCCATTTTCGCAGAACAACCTATACAATTTGAGACAGTTGGAAATACTCCTATGATCCATTCAGATCCCATGACTTATAGTCAATGCTCGCCCCAGTCATTTTTAAGGTAAAATATTTCTTAAAGGTACTACCTTAGGTAGGTAAGGTATTTATATTAAGCTGATGTGATCGAAAATATGGATGCAGATACCTACCTTACCAGGTACAGAGCATGCAAACAAAATTACTAGCTCATTGGTCCAGATGATATGCGGGGGTTGTTCTTCTGCCGAGGTTTCAGTTGATTCGCTATTAACTTCATCAAGAATCATACCTCTACAGATCCGGAGCATTTTCTAAGCTAGTCTTCTTAATCTCTCAAGAACTTCGCATCGATGAACCTGAATACTCTGTGATTCTTTACTTGTCTGGATTCATTCTGATTGCGCGATAGCAATGGCAGCTGCGCGAGATAACCGCAAGTCTGTGTTGATCACTGGGTAAGCCTGCATTGCATCTTGACGGCGAAGCAAACACCTATAGTGTTTCAATGCACGCCGCTAATCGCTTTTGCGATTTGAACTAGGTGCTCCCCTGGTGGCATAGGTAATTCACTCGCCCGCGAGTTTCATCGAAATGGTTTGCGCGTATTTGCAACGGCACGAGATGCAAAGAAAATCGATGATCTAGCAGCCCTGGGTATCGAGACGCTAGACTTGGTTGTTGATGACGAAGAAAGTGTCAAATCCTGCTACTCCGAAGTCGAAAAAAGACTTGGAGATAAGGGACTTGATTTTCTTGTTAACAATGCGTATTTCTCTCCCTCTTGAAATTCGCTGGAACAATTGGCCTAGATGCTGATATCTGCGTGGCTAGGGGCCGAAGTACGTTATACGATTGGACTTCGTTTACCCAGTTCAACATTAAAATAGGGAGAATCTTTACTCACAGGCGACGACAGACTACACCGTTCCATTTGTTGAGATAGACTTAGGCGAAGCCCGGAGAACTTTCGAAACCAACTTCTTTGCGGTCATCCATATATGCAAGACCTTCCTGCCATTGCTCATGAAGGCAAAGGGCACTATTGTGATGATCGGTAGTGTGGCTGGAGTTAGTCGATCCTACTTGACTGAATTGCCGTTTTGCTTGTCCTGACAGCTTCCCTCTTCGTCAAGATCATACCCTATGTGTTCGGATCGGTCTACAATGCCTCAAAGGCTGCGCTGCATTCTTTCAGTGACACCTTGCGAGTGGAACTTGCTCCTTTTGGGTACGTCATTGTATTTCTCCCTATTGTGCCTTTCCACTGACACTGACCCCCCTGCAGAGTAAATGTCACAACCGTCATCACTGGGGGAGTACAATCCCGCATTGCGCGTACTCAGCGAACTCTCCAGCCAAACTCCCTGTATATTCCTATTGAGGACGAATACGCTCGCCGTGTGACACATAGTCAGCATGGCGCTATGCCACATGCTGCATATGCACGGAGCGTTGTAACGCAGGTCCTGTACGGGTCAGCGCCATGGCGCTGGTTATGGCCGTGGGCGCAAGGACGAAAGAGCTGGATCTGGGAAGGCAACAAGAGCTGGGTGATTTGGTTCCTATGTGGCGGTTGGGCTTGGACAGGTCTATTTCAAGGCGTCATGACGAGGATGTTCAAGCTCTACAAGTTGAGAAAGACCATAGGGAAGTAGAAGCAAAGGGAATTGAAGCGCAAGAGGATCATTGCTCGGCTCTATGGGAGCAGTCAATCAGACAACGTCGGAGCATCATTCAAGTGGTCTAGGCACTTCCTTGTCACCTGACTCGAGACCAAAACTCGATATACCTCTATATTGCTATCCTACGCGCTTTCAAAGGGATTTATGGTCTGGGAGAAGGCGATCTTATCCAAGGTGTCATGTAGTTCTTTGGTGACCTCCTGTACGCCATCTGGATCATCATTGTGGTCTTCCATGATGCTCTCAACCGTTCGTATGATGTTCGCGAACGGGGTATATGACGCGAGTTGTTGCATAGCAGAGTCTAGTCCAGAGACGGCAGATGTAAGGTCTGTTAATCTCTTATCAACCACAGCCTTGTATGCAAGTGTAGCGTCAACGAGGTCCTGATGCTCCTTGTCGGCGCGTGCACCATCGGCTATGAGCCGCTTAGTTATGTCAATCCAAGTGTCGCCGTCTTTCCCTGAGTCCTTTCCTTTGGCGTCATTGTGGAAACGTTTGCGCTGAGCGGTCGGTTGCTTGGTGGTGGTGGGTGTCGACTTCGGTTGCCGGCAATGAGTATCTGAAGAATTGAACGCAACAGGGAACGATTCGGGTTCGTGTCCTCGTGAGTAGGCGGGATAACTGTAGACGCGCTGACTATGAAAGGGTTACGTGCGGTGACTGAGTCGGACTGGGGCAGGCTTTCTTTCCGGGTCGTGTTCTCGAAGGATGGACGGGTGTCTTGAGTGGGGGCAGTCTGGGAGCGATCTTGCACGGACGCGCCCTGTATGGAAGATTCGACCATGAAAGAGTCGCGTGCGGTGATTGGAATTGGTGGTCCGCCATTAAATAGTTGGCGGTATGTGCTGCTTGTTGTCTCATAGACGTTGTTGGTGTTGTTGTCCGACGATGCATCGTATCTGTATACGATCAGTTTTTGATTGTTGACTGTCTTCTGTTCTGATATTGTAGGCTGATTGAGTGCCGAGGCTGTGGAAACTTTCAGCGGCTTGTCGACAAGATGTATTGTAGGTAGTTCAGGGATCAGGATCTGCCAATCCAGTGGACCTTCCGGTGGCGGCTTATACAAGATATTGGGAAATTTGTCCGAGTCAATGACATACGCCTTCTCTTGTTGCGCGACTGTCGGGACCTCAACTAGTCCGAAGGACAGCTGAGCTCTGTCATTGTGTCTCCAGACACCAATTGGTCCAAGTGCCGATCAACCACTGCTTGAGTGGGTGCGCATGGTGCCCTACAGAGAACGTAGTATTGTCGGGCTCAACGGCGCCCTGTCCGGTTTAACCTCACCCCTCGTCCCGAAGTTGAACGGCCAGTTTTCATGCTTATCAGCCTGTTCAATATTATTTATGACCAGGTTGAAAATTTGCAGGTTAGAGAGCTTGGTGTGAGCAGGAGGCATAGGCGTGCATGCATCACCGGCTCAATGAGTTTCCAGTGGTCCATGTCGTTCGGTCGCCCCGCCCCGTCAGCATAAGTCCCGGCCATTGGGGAAAAAGGGGCAGCTTGAGATGCTGTGGCAGAAAGATCCAAGTGCGGAGATATATAGCTGTGTTCCTCAGCATCCATGAAAGAAGAAGAAGTCTTTGGAAATATGGCTTTAGACCATGCTTGTTGTTAAATGCAATTATCCAGTCTGCTCTTTCTCTTCTAAACAAGGAGAGAGTATATTAGAGAAATGATATTGCTGTGACATGAAACAAGAACCATAGATAGAGAGCAATGAGGTTGGGATCGGTCTTTCCATCGCTCTGTCCATACACTTCTTTTTGTTGGCCATGTCGTTTTCGTCTGAGCTAAGGGGAGCGGTGTCGTCGTTATTCTCTTGCATGGAGAGGTAGTCGATATAGTCACTCATGGTGAGTTAGTAAGGAGAGAAGATTGAGAAGGTGAAGATAGAGGCATAGAATGGTGATTTTATAGGTTGATATCTATGATGGTGTGAGTGAATGTTCGAAGGCGAGCTGTAAGTGAGGTGAGATGTGAGCAATAGCTAAGGTGTGTAGTGAGAGGAAGGTGAGGTTGACGAGGACAACAGGACAGTGATGGAAGTGAGCTATATCTAGAGGCAGATATCATTATGTGTAAACCATGAATATATACCAGATCAGGACGAACTGTTGACTCCCAGTGGGCGGATCGCAGATTGGTAGCGAAATAGATTATAGGCGAGGTAAATGCAGCAATAAACAGAGAATCGGTCATTCAGACGGCCAAGCGGACGTCTCATTAACTAAAACCGAATTTGCTTGTGGCCAATCTCTTCAGATCCTTATCCCGGTTATGCCTTGTGTCGTAAATTATTGCGATGAATGATGCTTGTGAAGTTACAATCCGGTTGCAACCCCTTTCCACGTGTTCATCCAGAGTAGATCTGACAGAATCGGAAGGTTATAAAAGTTTGATGGACTGAGAACTGGAGACCACCTGCGACACTTCATCATTTTGGATTTCTCTTCGTTCTAGTGACGAAAAGACCAGCAAACTATGAGACTCGGCAAGGTGTTGTGGACGGGAAGAAGTTATACCAGCGTTCCGTGATATTCGCGTCGCCGGCATTATGCACCTGATTAGTCATCCCGAAACACACGCTGGTTGGCTCATCAGGTGACCCGCGTGCGATCCAAGGCAGACGAAGCGCATAATTGTCCCGAGAAGCGCAGCCGTGAAAAAGCAGTGAAAGCTGTTCCCTTCCGAGATCAACATTGGATAATCCGCCCCTTCTTGTCAACAATCACTTTGGAGGCTCGCTTTTCCTCTTGTGCTCTTATCTGTTTCTATTGACATTCTCCCCTCTTTGACAAATTCTTTTTCGTCATGTTCAAGCTCGCGCGCAGCAGCCGTCCTGTCGCGGCAGCTATCAGAGCTGCGACTGTGAGATATTTCCCCAAACTCATATTTTGACAATATTACATAGTAGTATATCCATTAGCATCAAATCGAGCTTGCTGACATTGCAATTTTCGTAGGAATCTTCCGTTCAATCCAGATTGGCTCAACAACACAGAAACCTGTCCATTCACGAATACCTCTCTGCCAGACTTCTCAAGTCCGTATGTTGTCGTAACGTTCACTCGTCGATATTCCGCCGATCCAAAATGACTGACTGGCCGACAGTATGGCGTGGGAGTCCCCAAGGGTGAGGTCGCCCGCTCGGCAGAGGAAGCTGAGGCTGTCGCCAAGTCCATCGGTATATATCCCCGTCATGAACAGGCTGGACCGCGGTTTACTGAGACAGCACCTTAGGGAACGACGACATGGTGATCAAGGCCCAGGTTCTTGCTGGTGGTCGTGGTAAGGGTAGCTTCGACAATGGACTTAAGGGAGGTGTGCGCGTCATCTACTCGTGAGTTGATCCCCTAAAACTCCACTGTTTTCGCCTACTGTCCTCTTGTTGACCGGGATATCTATTTCATTAGCCCAACCGAGGCCAAGATGTTCGCTGGCCAGATGATCGGACACAAACTCATCACCAAGCAGACTGGTGCTGCTGGTCGCCTTTGTAATGCTGTCTACATTTGCGAGCGCAAGTTCGCTCGTCGTGAATTCTACCTTGCCGTCCTCATGGACCGCGCGACTCAAACTCCCGTCATTGTTGCCTCGTCGCAAGGCGGTATGGATATTGAGGCGGTTGCCAAGGAACACCCCGAGGCTATCATGACCACTCCTATCGACATCAAGGTCGGTGTGACTGATGACATTGCCCGCAAGATCGCTACCGATCTTGGCTTCTCCGAGCAGTGCATCGAGGATGCCAAGGCCACCATCCAGAACCTGTACAAGGTCTTCATGGAGAAGGATGCTACTCAGATTGAGATCAACCCTCTGTCTGAGACTTCTGACCACCAGGTTCTGGCTATGGACGCCAAGCTGAACTTTGATGACAACGCTGAGTTCAGACAGAAGGAGGTCTTCTCGTGGAGAGACACCACTCAGGAAGACGCCGATGAGGTCAGGGCTGCTGAGTACGTCCCGATGGCACCCAATCTATGGCCGACGAAATTTTTGTTCTAACTCGGACGACAGGTACGGCTTGAACTTCATCAAGCTTGATGGTGACATTGGATGCCTGGGTACGACCTGACAACACTTACCTTACTGCGCTCATGCTGACCGCTTCTCTAGTCAACGGTGCTGGTCTCGCCATGGCCACCATGGATATCATCAAGCTCAATGGTGGAAGCCCTGCCAACTTCCTTGACGTTGGTGGTGGTGCTACCCCCGCCGCTATCAAGTCTGCTTTTGAGCTCATCACCAGCGACCCCAAGGTCACTGCAGTCTTCGTTAACATCTTCGGTGGTATCGTCCGCTGCGATGCTATCGCCCAGGGTTTGATCAATGTCGTGCAGGATATGGGTCTGCGCATCCCCATCGTTGCTCGGTTGCAGGGTACCAACATGGAGCAGGCTCAGAAGCTGGTATGTGGTCAACCAGCTTTGCATTCACAGACTACGAAAACGGTCATGAAATGCTAATGTAGGATTTATAGATCAACGAGTCCGGTCTTAAGATCTTCTCCATTGAGGACCTCCAGAGCGCTGCCGAGAAGTCCGTCCAGTTCTCCAAGGTCGTCAAGATGGCCCGTGAGATTGACGTCGGTGTGGAGTTCACCCTTGGTATCTAAGTTCCGTCAGTTTGAGATGTTCAAGCATGTGTCATCGCCTATTGTTTCATCTTCTTGTCTGTCTTTTCTTTCGTGATTTCCCTTTTTACCTTCCATTTCGCTCCTACTCAGGAAGCGAGAAGATTACATGGGTGATGACATGTTGGGAACTACCAAATGAGCTACCGGGGACCTCATATCCGCTGTCCTCGTGACACTACTGTTCAGGATTGATCAGCGATATGGATGCGCGAATTGCGAGGCGGGCGAGTCGGTCAGGATATGTTAGTGAATTGGGCTAGTATAATAGTGAAATCCGCACAGTACGGGGAAGGCAGCGGTGGCATTATCATAGAGAGCATTGATGGTTCTGTATATCGTCTATGACTAGGCTTTTTTTTATTTCCTTTTGTCAATGTATTTCTTGTCTTTTCAGTGCCTCTATCGATTCTAATGTCTGTTCTCCCAGCGCCTCAAGATGTTCTAGGAACAAATAAAGCTCAAGACTTCTAATTAATGAGTGTTTCTCTTCCTTGGTCTTAAAGACGTCTTATTCCCAAATCCAATAAAGACACCAACTTCAATTGTCCGGGATCTGGAAAGGAATAGCACACAAGGGCTGCGCGGCTTCATCGAAACACCACGCGCTCACCCCACCCCTATTGACCAACAGAACACAATCATGATCTCCCTTGAGCACGTATTCGTCGGCATCATGCTGACTAGGGTCTACCGCCCACGGAGAAGGCATGGACTTGGCCGGGCGGTAAGGAACTTGCGCGCCTGGCTGTGAAATCCAGATCGTTGGCATGGCCTGCTCGACCCTGATGTAGTACAAGAGGTTGCGGTCAATAGGTGCAACATGTAAGTGGGAGGAGGATGTGTGCTCCGGGGGCAAGACGTGCAGGAAAACCTCCTCGGTGTCGTTATAGTGGGTAATGGCGATGATGTAGTGTGGGTGGTGATCTTTACTGCCTTTGGGACGGGCTATTAGGATTCCCGCTCTGTCGTTGAATTGCTCTGAGAGCCAGGCATTCGGTCGAACTACCCAGTCGTTGTCTTCTTGTATTTGCAGGGTCAGAACCTTGGACACAGTCTGAGGAGCTTCCAACGAATCATCAAAGCAATGCTTCACGACCCGCAACTGTGCGGCATTGCATGGAATCCCTTCAAGATCCCATGGGCCATCCACGTTGTCATTTCGTTGTAGATGGATGGTGATCAAGCAATCCAGCGTAGAATGTAAGTCTATGAACACCAAGTGATCTGCCACAATGACCGTGCGGGAAACGCGCGAGTTGAAGTCCCATTGCATGACAACCGTGTTTCCAGCCGCGGGATTCTTGAAGCCGAAGGCAACCTTGGCGCCACGAACAGCGAAGAGGTGGAATAGGCGGGATGGCAGTCGAAAGTATGCTGACTCCTCAGTTCGAAGATTCCAGACATGGCAGTATCTAAAATCCGTTCCATGAGTGAAAAAATACTACATGAGTTTGATCTGTGCAAGATTTGCTGCCTACCCACGTAGAGTGACCGCTGCAACAATCGACTCCGAAAGACGAATGTTGCCGATGCGTTCTCTGTTTTCCGTGCAGAACATCTGCATTGTGTTTGAACGCAGATCCTGCACGACGACCGTGGTCATTTCGCCAGTCCATGCATACCGTCCATTTGAATAGTCTAGACATGCTGGGTTAATATGGCTGGGCTCGCGCCGACGCAGGGCTGAAGATGGCTCTCCTCGCTCCAGTCTGATCCTCTGCTTGGCATACTGGTTGAAGATGTGATGAGATGTCTGATGAAAAAAATTGAGGGTGCGGCCTGAATACCGACGGTATACAGCGCTGCGAACCGGATTAGATGACAGTAACTTGCGCCAAATTCTGGAGACCTGATACAACGTGAGTTACCATTCTCATGGTCACAAGATAAGTGGACATGTATTGCCTACTCTCTGCAGGACATGGATTTCCGCTAGGTCTAAATACTGGGCGACTTGCACAGCAATCTCGGGGGGCAGCAAACCCAGGATATCACACTGGAAGGTTCGTGTGTTGAGGTAGTCCCTCAGGTCACGCCATTCGTCAGAAGCTAGCTGGTGGATGAGTTGATGGAACCTGGAATCGTTGAATTGTGTCAGTCAATGAATTTAATATGTGTTATAGCGAAAAGGCATTTGCTGGGGGAACCCGTACACTGTGCGTCGCGCTGACTTTGTCCTGAGATTTTGGAGTCGAGTGATGATCTCCTGTTCG